GCTGTGCGGGGCCGCAGACCGAGCCCCGGCCGCCCGGGGACGGGCCCGCGGAGTCTCCAGTCAGCCTGGGAAGAGCGCTTGGAGCCTGAGAACGCCCATGCGAGGCACGGCAGGGGCCCGGGCACCGGGAGACGAGCGCGTGGGGCTCGAGCGCAGATGCCCCCGGCCCACACACGCCCCTGGCTGCCGGTGCCCATCCTCCCAGCTGAGCAGAGCCGCCGCAGCCCCGGCCGGCCGCGCTTTGTCCGCCTCTCCCAGCCATGGGGTTGCTATTCTCAGTGGGAGCGAGCGGGTTGGGGCTGAAGCCCACGCACCTGGTCCCTCCGGGAGAGCACGCCCGGGTCAGAAGGCCCCGCAGAGCCTGGAGCCACCACCGTCAGACGCCAACTTAGCGGGAATCGCCACCCACGAAAGAGCAGCGGCGCCGAAACCGCATCCTCCTGCTCGCCAGGGGTGGCGCCCACGGTGTCACTTTACACAGCACGCAGGCGCCTGCGGGGGCTGCCGGCTCAGCTCTGCCGCCAGCTAGGGCCCAGGGCGGGAGCAGGGAATGCAGAAGGAAGCCAGGGAGGGGAAGGAGGAGACCTGCGTGTTGCACAGTTGCTTTCTCTTTATCAGATATAAAAATATCTATAAAGTAAATAAAATGAACATCTCCAAGGAGTTCCAAATTTAGCCCTTTGGGACGAAGATTTTATAGTCTCCATTTCTGCCAAGATGAATGATCTAATGGTTATTATCAGAGGGCTGGAGGTCAGCACTGCATGGAAAAATAAGTAGAGCCTAGGACCCCAGTGACATCTAGATGAGGAAATGAAAGTCAAAGCAAAGCCCACCCGTGGCTCTCAGAAGAAAATCCTGCAGCTTCTTCCCGAAGCTCTCCAGTCCAGCCCCCCAAGGGAACCCCGCCCTCTGCTCCTTGACCTTTCTGCGGCTCCATTCACAAACCAGTGTCTTGGGGACTGACGCTGCCCCTTGCTTCCGGAGGGCTGGCAAGGGCTGGGGGTGGTCTTTCCTGCAAGGGGAGGGGAGGGCCACCAAGCAGGACAGTCCCACTGCTCTCCCACAGGCTTGTGACGGCCACCCGCAGTTGGGCATGCTGGGTACTTCTGGGAGGCCGGCTGGCATTAGCTCTGTGCATGGCAGGGCAGCGGAATCCTCACCCCACAAGTGGCTACGAAGGCAACTCAACCCATGGCAATGGCTTCGGTGACGGGTATGATCACCGCCTCTCGGGGAGCTTCCAGCAGATGAAAAGTAAGAGCTGTCGCTGACCCCGACTCCAAGTCTGCCAGGCACCTGCGTGGAGTGGGTGCTCCAAGCAAGAACCTTCCAGACGTCACCTCCCTCACCGTGGGCAGGTCAGGGTGCCCTGGTGTGTCACTGTGGTTCAGAGCTAGCAAGGCCCTTCACTTACTTTAAATGACAACCCAACAGAATTCCTGAAGCCCTCGAAGTTGGCCACAGCAGGGCAGGGGGGAATAGCCACTCAGGATGAGCATGCCCAGTAAGAGGGGCTGCTAAGACATAGACGCCCTCGAGCTGTTTCCGACCCTTTCGGGAGGTGGAATAAGATCCAGGTCCAAGGAAGAAGCTGTGACATCTGGGAAAGCTGAGGTCCGGGGCAATCGCTAGCTTTGGTGACAGGTGCTCGCTGCCCGGCTCCTCGAGCTGGCACTGTCAGACACAGCAGGGCTGCTCTCTAGCGGTGGACCCTGCTGCTGGGGGGTCAGCACACACACTACGACCCTCCCAGGGCACAGGAAGGAGCTGGCGCACAGAGAACAGACCTCATTAAGGTGTGGAAAGGACAGAGTTCAAGGCAGGGGAGGACCGTGGGCTTCCTGGGTAGTAAGAACTGTGCGGGGCTGGGGCTCCCTGGGCCGCGGGCGGCCTGGGCTTCGAGCTCTTCTTGGCGAACCGGCCCCACCCTGCCTGCCACACCAGTGTGCACCCTGTCCCAAGCGGTACCTCGCTTTACGCCTTCTTCTTTCATCTGCTTGGCAGGCGCTGGGCCGAACTCCTCCTCCATGGGCCTGAACATCCGCTTGACGAGGACACTGCTGCTGGAAAGGACAGCAGAGGCTTTTCAGCAAAGCAGACAAGGTGCCCACACCCAAGGTCACGCATGTGTCGGTCCCTGTCCTCTTCCACAACCAGACCCACTCTCGACCTCCTCCTCCCCCTGCGGGTCCTGGGGCATCCCTGTTGGAGGCAGGGCCTGCACTGCCATCTTGGTGCTGGCCCAAGACCTGCTCTGCATCGCTGAGGTGAGGCAGCTGGGCTTTCCCCACCGCAGCCTGTGTTGTCCCCCTCATCTGCTCACTTCTGGACTGGGGGAGGCAGGAGCAAGCCTTGGTGTCCTTGCAGCCCTCGCATGCAGCGGAGGCCTGGCAGTCCAGCCCCTCCAGGCACAGCAGGGACACAAACCGCCTCCCTGTGACTCGATGGCCAGGCTGTCCTGACTTCCTGCTGCTCTCCCTCTATGGCTGGAGCAGATGAGCTGCAGTACTGGGAGTCCCTCAGGGACCCAGGTCTTTCCCCTGTGCCTGGATTCCCATGTGTGGGGCCCTGCATGACCTCAATTGGGCCAGTTCTGATGGTTCTACTTTTCCTCCTGGAGCTCTTGTCCACACCAGGCACTCTAAGGAGGAGGAGGACTGGGAGGACAGAAAGCGGAAGACAGCACACTCCCACATGCTACTCAGCCTCAAGGGAGGCGACACAGGTGCTTATGAATGGCTCATTCTCCCTGGGGATCCCTGAGCCCACGAGCAAGGCTGGACCGGAAGTTCAGAAGGGTGAAGGCAAGAGCGCTGAGACACACTATCTTGGTTCACATCCCTGCTGTACAGTTTACTGCTGTGGGAGCCTGGACAAGTTTTTCCACTTCCCTGGGCCTCAGTCTCCTTCCCCTTAAAAAGTTTGTTGACATAGAAACAACATTTGAGGAGACAGAACTGCTAAACCCTGACCGTGTAATTTCATATGCAGCAGGCTATCACACTGTACTCGGGAAGTGAATGCAAGCATTGTATGTCCATCAAAATGTAAAAATTAGTTTAACTAAATAAAATGGAAAAGAAGGCTGCAGTGAGCAGGAATGGATGCACACGGCACTCATGGGACCCCCTGGAGCACCGTGAGCTCCTCTCGCGCTGGGTGAAGATGATGATGGTGAGGCCACGTTGGGCAGATCTGGGGAGGAGCCACAGGGAGAAGACCAGATGCACAGACCCGAGACAAGTTGGAATCCCCCCTACGTCACAGAGACACAGCCCCAGCGGACACTCGGCCCAGTCTGAGGACTCGTATGGTGAAGTTCCCCACATGGATGGGTGACATCGGGACAGCCCCAAGATCCCACATAATGCGGAGCCTTGTGGCTCCCTGTGGGTGTTACTGTTGCTCAGAAGTCATCAATCACATCTTCAGTCAAGCTAGTGCTAGCGTAAAGGGGAAAAAGCACAGGCGTGTAACCGAGGGAAGTCCAAAGCATATTCCTACCATTCCAAGGGCTTACGTTATTAAACCAAGGGTGATCTAATTTATCTTCTCATATTCTAGCTTACCCAAAGGGTGGCCCAACCATGAAAACTCCTGTGTAAGACCTCAGCACATTTCATCTCCTCAGTCACCATGAATCACGGACACCATGAACCAGCCGGGGCGAGGACCCGGCTCTATCCCATCTCAGCGAGGACTTGAGGCTCAACATGTTGAAGGGCTTACATGGGGCAAAGCAGCTAAGAAGAGAAATAGATCTGCAGTGACCTCATCTTTGAGGGCACCACCTCGTGAAAGAGTTACTCAATAAGTCTGGGATGAAGAACAGTAAGGGTATGAGAAATAATGAGTCAGAATTCTCCTATTTTCTTGCCTAGTATGTCAGACAGTGAAAACAGCTGGACAGCTGTCCAACGCTCAGGTCCCAGCGCAGGTGGCCATCAGTCTGAGGGCATCACTCCCTGGACCTGCTCACTATACTGTGGTAACAGTGGAAGCGCAGTGACCTTGATCTCAGGACTACAAGACTAGAAAACCCATTCACAGAGCAGCCCGTGGCCAGAAGGTTAATGATGGGGAGCAGCCTGAAAGGTCACCAGACATGCTGTCTTGCGGGGTGAGCTTGCCTACGCTTGCGATGTTCCTTCTTTATGAAGCAAGATTTGCTTATATTTTTTCCAGTCCTGCTGACTTCTCATAGCACCCCATTCTGAGCCACGACAGACCTTGCCATTAAAATAACATCTGGGATAAACCACATTGCTTGTGGGAGTGTGGACGTGCTTTTCCACACTTTCAAATCTATGAAGCCAGCAGGAGTCTGGATGTTTTATGTGTTGTGAATTCAGCAGTTTCATTTATTTTCAGTGCAGGGCTAGAAAGCAAGGGCAGCTGGACGAGCCCATTTGCTAGGTGAGAGGGCCCAGACCTGAGGCCTCCCGGCGTCCAAGCAAATTGTTTCATTACAGCACAAAAGGACCGGAGGACCAGGAAAAGCTGGTTTCCCTGGCACCAGATGCCATCCCGCTGGCACTGTGAGGTGATCAATATACAGAATGATCCAGTGAGCAGCACATTCAGCCGCGAGCTGTGGGGTCGATTTCAGGAAGGGAGTCCCTGAGGTATGAGCAGAGTGCTAAGTTTCGTCACAAAAACACCAAAGGTGGCAGAGAAACACTGGGAAGCATGTGTCTCTGGCCCTGACAACTGAGCTGCTAGAGGTGCCGAGTGCCGAGGAAGGAGGTGCTCTCCCCAGTCCAGAAAGGGGTTGCAGGCACCCCAGAGACAGAGCTGGTTTTTCTGCTTACAGCCTGTGTGAAATAATCACCATGAGTGCCCTACGTAAGTAGAGGTTCCTGCCCCATGTTAGCTGTGGAAAAGACAGGGTTATCTTATATTCAAGTCCTCACAATTCTTTCATACTTTGGAGTAGAATCTCAGCTAATTCACTTTCAACAGATTACTCTTTGGGAAAGTCAGCCCAGAATGACTTTAGTCAGTGCCAGCTTGGGAGTGTTTAAGAAGTCACCTGACAACCAGAGAAAAGAAGAAAGGTCAGACCCGAGAGCGTGCATCATTGCCGTTCACTCCAGCCGCTAGAAATGCACCACTTATGTGCCAGGAGAGAAAGGACAATCTAATGGGTACTTAAGGGTCTGAAGTTTGAGGTTAAGTCCTAGACAAGATTCTGCCCCTGCCTACCCGGCTGGGAAATCACCGGAGTCCTTTGAGACTCCCTTCCTTCAGAGCTGAAGGTTTCTAAATGGGCCGTTTTAACTGCTCAGCTCTGCCGGAACAGCACCAAAGCAATCACAGACAGCGCATGGAGGACCTAACATGGCTGTGTTCCAGTGAAACTTCGTGGACACTTGGATTTCATAAAATTTTCACATGCCATGAAGTACTATTCTTCTGCATGCTTTCAGCTGTTGAAACGGAGGAAAACCATTCTTAGTTTTCAGACTCTTCTGAGGCTCAGTTTGGTCCTCAGGCTGCCATTTGCCACCCCGGCTCTAGGATCAACTCTACAAGATCTGCTCCCCGCACTTCGCCAGCGGAGAGATGCCTCACAGGTAAACACACCGCTTACACAGGAACAGGGATGCCCAGGCTGACTGCGGGCTGGGGGAAAATGAACTACAGATGTCAGCCCACGTATCAACTGCAAACAGAGACTGCAACATAAATACTAGAAGTGAAAACACTGTAAGAGGAGAAAAATAAGCACTCAGGACGTAAGAGAAAAACAGCCCCAAACATCCTGCAACTCGTATGGTTTAGATGTGTGAATTTTAAGGAGAAAGTCCTTTTTTTTGTCTTTTTGAGACAGGGTTTCCCTATGAAGTTCAGGCTGGCCGTAAGCTCACTTTGTAGCCCAGGCTGGGCTCAAAGTTGAAATGATTCTCCTGCTTCAGCACCCCCAGCGCTGGTGTGCACCACCACGCCCTGCCTGAGAAAGTCAATTTTAAGGAGACTACTAATAGACTAAAGCATCCCCTGGAGGAAAGTGAACAAGCTGAGAGGTAAAACTGTATTTTAACAGTTGCAGGGGGGAAAGGGTCATCTAAATGCTGAGAGAGGGTAACACTGATCCAGAGAGCAGGACGAGAGCTGATGGAAAGAGGTTAAAAGCAGGGAGAAGTCGGCGACACAGACAACAGAACTTCCGAGGACTGAGTTGCGCAGAGGGTACTGAGTGGCCATTGCTGGCAACACCCAAGCAGAAGCTGGCCGGCCGCCCCCCAGGAGCGTGGCATAGCTGTTACCAGCACCTGGCAGAGGAAGTTGGCCGAGGGAGCTTGGAGGTTCCTCTGAGGCTCTAAATTGCTGAGCTTTCATGAGTTGAGGATGGACAGCTCTCTGAGGAGGTGGCTGCCCCTAAGACCTGAGGGCCTCGGCCAAGCGTCCTGTGTCCTGAGAACATCCCCAGCCTGGTTGCGGAGCTGTGACATGGAGGACTCTGGGGCCTGCGGGGACAGCCTCCTAGCTGAAGTCCTAGGGGACCATGGGCAAGGACTCAGCCTTCCCGGTCCCCATGCAAGCCAGCCTGGAGTGGGGGCGTGAGACAGACGTGTGGGCCCTGGCTGCACAGAAGCACGGCAGGCCGCCTCCTACGGCTTCTGCCTCAAGGGCAACTCGATCTTGTGCTGGGGCCAAACAACAGGGGCAGGGCTAGCACCAGAATTTCACCAGCTAGAAAGATGGAGAGGAAGAAATAACGTCTTCAACAGCGCAGCATAGGAAGAAGAAAAGGGAGAAAGAGAGGCCTGGAGGGAGAAAGGTGTTGCCCCAGCCTCCCTCCCGGAGAGACCCGTCTCTGCTGGCTCTGGAGTGCGAGGGGTTTCCCGAGCCGCCCTGGCCACCGGCGCAGGAAGGGCCTCAACCACTGCCTGACGCGTGCACGGAACCCTTACCCTTCTCGCTCCTCGTCCGCGTTGTAGTACACCTGTGGAACAAAACAAGAGGCTCACCGCAGGTCACGACAAGACACGGAAACACTACAGGACACGCACTTTCTTAAGGCAGAAACTGTCTTCAGAAGACAAAGTTTAATGATGCCGTATATGTGTGTGCGTCCGTCTGTGTGTTTCTAAAGAAATACAAATTTTACCGCTTTACATTCTCCCTGGGGCTAACTCTTAGGTTTTAATGAAATAACATTGGAAGTCTGCTTCCACCTAGGTAAGGCAGCCTGATTGGATTACCACAGCCCCGAGCCTGTTCTTGCTTGTGACATTAAGAAAATATGTCGCCGACCGGATCTGAATTCATCGGTTAGAAAGGCTCTGGCGAGCTGACCCCAACCTGCGGGCCGCTGCTCCTGTTTCCTGCCCTCCTGACGGGCCGACTCCCCCATCTCGCCACTGTCACAGTCATTTCTTTTCCTCTCGCATGACGATCCGCTGTTCCTTCCTTGTCTGCTGTTGGATCCATTGCAATAAAGGCTTTTTAAGTAAGTCTGCAAACCTTAGAGAGCCTCAAATTACCTAGAGAACCTACAGGTGCAGGTTCCTGGAAGCACTTCAGCGCCTCTGCTGTGACACACGGGAGGGAAGAGTGGAACCCGAATCCTCCCAGGGACCCCCGTGACCTGGGGCTGCTCACGAAGCTCCACTTGAGAGGCCCTTCCCTGGGTGAGGGGGGTCCCCGGCCCAGGTGCTCCAGGAGGCTGCAAAGCGTAGCCCGCCCTGCCCAGCGCCCAGCCCTGTGCACTGCGAGGAGGGCAGCTCAAGGGCCCCGTGGCGCCTGCACAGTGGGCTCGCTCCTTCCCGTGACTTTCCCACAGTGGCCTGCGGAGTGCTCGGGCCCACATGTGGGCTAGGGCTGTCCTCCGTGTGGCCTGGGTGCCTCACTTGCTGCAAGAGCGCTAGGGCCACTGGTGCCACAGCAGGGCCCAGGCGGACTCATGCCTGCTTGGCTACCACCGCCTGGGCCCCGTCTTATTTTGCATACAAAGCCAGCGATCCCTGCCCTACCCCTGGTCTGGCCCTGACGCTGCCTCCACCTGGGGTGAGCTCCCAGGCCACAGGCTCTCCGGGAGAGGCGGAGGCCTGGCCTTCAGCTTGGTGAGTAGGTCAGCCACGGGAGTCACAGAGTTCTCGGGCACCGCTGCGGGGTCCTCGCTGCCGGAGTGCAGGGCAGTGCCCGCCTGAACGCTCGAGGTGAGGGTCCCAGCAGCCCAGGGGACAGTGACTGGGTTGCCCTGCAATTGCTGCAGCGGGCAAAGGCAAAGGCAAAGGCAAAGGCAGAGGCAGAGGCTGTGTGCTCCTCCGAGTCAGCCCCGGGCCGGGGCCCAGCGCAGGACGCCAACAGGCAAGCTTCCCTCCGAAGATCCATTTTCAGATTCATATTTCCATCATTAAAATTTTAGGTGCTATAAAATATTCTAATAATCTGAGCTACCCCAGTGGGTTAATTACTGGAGTTCATGTTAATTTAATATTAGATCTTTCATTTCACATGTAGATATACCTAGGAAACGGGAGTTAGTGTGCTTTGTTTTCTAAAGGGAGAGACTGTCTGCAACCTCCTGTGTCTTTAGAGAAGAAATGATTTAGCCGTTCAGTGGGAACTGTTAATTTTCTAAGAGGGAAACTGCTGATGGGATCTGATTCAATCAGTTTTTCCCCTAACGCAACTTCAAGTTGCAAGTGCAGGTATATTCCATACCAGTAGGGGGAGCTCCTGTGCACCCAGCGCAACTCAAAGGCCAAGGCCAAGGAAATCCCTGTTCTTACAGGAAGTGGGCCTTACTGCCTCCTCTTTGACTGTCCGGGAGGCATTATCCTCTCCGAGACATTCTTTCCTGTGACAGGGAATGGCCACTGCCCTTCCTATCATGAGGGGACGGTGGGTTTTGCTCTGTGCCCCCAGCACACGCAGGGGGGTGGTGGGGAGGCTGTACCTGTCCGGTCCTCTGCAGGTTTGCAAAGTGAACGTCGGGAATGAAGAGCACGGGCTGCGAGTGCAGGTCGGGCATGGTCTTGAAGTAGGTGATGTCACTCTTCTTCTGTAAAGGTATGGCGGCCAACTTCCCGTCAGAGGCTGGACGCGACCACAAAACCCATAAAGGACAGGGTTACGCATGACTGAGAACTCACAACTGTCAGTCCTGTCTCAGAAAGCTCGGGACCCTCCTACAAAGCGCTCCACATACCACAGATGGCAGGCACTTTAGAGCCACCCGGCCCCCCGGGAACAGGAGGAGCTGGGCTTGCTCCCTGGGCCCCTCACACCCATCCCGCGCCACCGCCCAGTCCCGGCTGGTCCCAGGAGGACGCTGGTCTCCATACTGCAAAATCCCACCTACCCTAACCTCACCAAACTCATGTGATTCTGTTTGTTCTCCACAGGGACAGTCACCCAACACCCCGTCACCCCACCTGCCGGCTTGTGTCCCCCCAGCTTTCCATCTTCACCCCCGGGCACCTTGCCCTCCTGGGCTCCCCCACAGCAGTCAGCCTTGGGCAAACTCACAGTTGTTACATGGGGCCTGGGGGGCCTGGCCCTTCCCTTTCTTCCTGTTCTGCTTCCTCTCTTCATCTCGGATCTTCCTTTCTGCACCCTGTCAGGGAAAACAAACACAGACACACCGGGCATGTCATCAGGGTATGCAGGAACACACACACACACACACACACACACACACACACACACACACGTTGGGTTGTGAAGCTCCTTTACCCTCCTCGAGTTTAGCCTTCGATTCTGGAAGCTGACAGCACACGGAGGCCTGCGCTGCTGCCCTTCTGACCTGGGAGTGATCCCTGTCATCCGAATTTCTTCCTTGTTTGTTATCTTGTCTATTCACAGAACTTCAGCTTTGAACCCGTAGAGAAAGCCCAGGCCCAGACCCCTAACACAGGGAGGCCCATTAAGTAACTTCAGTGATTATCATCCAACGTCCAAAGATGAAGCACTGGCCCATTAAATCACTCGTAGGCAGGGAGACGTCTTTACGGCTGCACCTGACTTCCCTGGCAAACCTTCCCGAGGCTGCTGACTGCTACGGAACAATCGCAGAAGCGCAGCAGCGGAAACAAGGGAAAGCGCTCCTGCTCCCTTGCCGGGTGATCACACGGACACAGACGGAGCCGCTCTGCCTGTGCGCGCCCTGCTATCTGCGTGGCCATCGTCACTCTCAGACAGACGCAGCCCGGCGGGAAGAGGGCCTCTGTCCGCCCCTTTCTGTGCCTTGTTCTCTGTGGTCTCACTGTTGCACCGTCCTTCTTGCCGAACTGCCGCATCTCGCCCAGCTCACCTGTCACCTTACAGCCCGTGCCCTCGGCCTGTGGTGCGTCCCTGCTGGCTCTTGTTTTTAGCCATGTGCCGACGCATTTTCCTTCTCACTCCCCGGAAGCGGAGCTGCCCCCGCATTCTGGTGTGTTCCCTCTGTGCCTGCTTCGGAGGGCTCATATGACTGCAAGCTCATCTGCAGCGCGTTTTCCTAAGGCCCTGGGCAGGCGATAGCCACTCCGGCACCTTCTGCTCCCTCCCTAAGGCCCAAGTCCGCTCAGCTCCTGCCCCTGCAGCAGATTTGAGGAGCTGGGAAGCCCAGACCGGCTGGTGCCCCTTGTGCCTTTGAACACTGCCCTCAAAGCATCGCTGTAGACGGAGACCTGCCAGTGTAAAAAGTTAATCTCGCGCATGCAAAAAACCAGAACAAAACAGGAACAAGAAAAACCCAAACTAAAGTACAAATGGGATTGGTGAAAATACTTGAAATAAAACGTCACATGAAGTGTCAGATTCTAACTGTGTAGTGATTTGAATCTAAGGACTGAAACCCTAATGGGAGACGGGCGTCATGAGACAGGCAGGTCACGGAGAACGCGCGGTGGCTTGGATTTCGATGGTGAGGCGGGCTTCCAGTGAGCAGGCAGATCCCCAGCTTTAGCCAGGTGAGCCGACCACACAGTGGGGCTCGTGATCAACAGAACCAAAGCACAGGACACGGCTTTTGAGCTAATGCTCAAAGAATTTAGCATGATAGCAAGGCTTACCTCGCTCATCTGGCACTTACTCTGTGCCTGGCGTTTTCTAGTGGGGAATCAAGATACGTTAGCCAGATAACTTACATGTGCTTTGTTTTTGCAGCAGTGCAGGTTGAATCTGGGGCTCTCACACTGAGCTACATCCTCAGCCCTTTCTATGTTTTATTTTGAGACACTATCTTGGTAAACTGCTGAGTTGCCCAACTTGGGCTCAAACTTGCAATCCTTCTGCCTCAGCCTCCCAGAGTGCTGGGATTCCCAGGTATGTGCCACCATGCCCAGTAAACATGCATTTTTATAACAAAAAAATCACCAAATGAGGTAACTGTTTTACTTACTGCCAAAGGAAGTAGTTATTTTACAGTGCTTCACTTTAAGTTTTAAGTTGTTATTGACGCATTTATGGAAATTCACAGCAAGATGGAGATAAAAAATAGAAATACCTTGGAGATCTCCTTAAGACGTAATTTTGTAGTGTGTGTGTTTAGATACAGGTAAGGGGCGCTAACATCCATGGGGGAGGGCCTGAGTTCATATGGACCCGTGAGAGCTCTGCACAGCCCAGCATTTACTACAAATAAAACTATGGGTCTTTATTTTCTATTTATGACCAACTTCAAGGTTGGTCAAGCAACTGTATATTTCTGTGAGGAATGGATCTGGAATTCATCTGTTTCAAGATTTATATATGCTTCTTGCAGATTTTTAGGAAATAAAGCCACCTGCTTATTATTTTGCATGCACTTCTTGATATGCTAAACCCAAGTGATTAACGCAAAACCTAGCATAGGTGTCTACTGCGCGCAGCGTAGGTGCCACTTGTGTGTAGGAACTTCTTGTCCAGAGCCCAGGTATCAGTGAAACAATCCGGATAGTATCTGCACTTGGGGGAAACTCAGCTCTCCATTCTGAAATAAAGCTTTGGAATTCACGATGACTCAGGGACGCTTCAGTACATTCTGTTAAGATGGAGAAAGCCTCCCTCGGTCAAGACCTCCTAAGAATTCCTTTCCTTCCTAGGTTATTTGTGACCTGGACCTTCTACAAAATATTACTTGTACTCTTATAAAAGCTCCTAAAGGTCTAGTTCTTTCAGAAGAGTATAATTTACTACAAAGACCAAAGCTAGCACTGGACAGAATATCCCTCACCCCAATTTATTCAGTATGGAGTTCTATATCTGAAAAATATACCTCAAGAGTTCCTCCTATAGCTGGGTATGGGGGCGCATACCTGTAATTCCAGCACTAGGGAGGCTGAGGCAAGAGGAATGCTGTGAGTTCAAGACCAGTTTGGGGTACACAGGGATTTCAAGGCCAGCCTGAACTACATAGCAAAGAAAAAAACTGAACTACAAAGCTCCAGAAAAAAAACAAAACAAAACAGAGTTCCTACTATATATTGTGATCACTTTTGCCAACACAAGAGGTGACAGCCATCTTTGCTTTTTATCTTTTCAATTTTTATTTTAAGAAATTTTATTTTATTTAAAGTTTTGTGCAACATACAGTTACTGTTTGCAGAAATACAACATTCTTATTTGTCATGGAAGTTTTTTGGAAGCACTCAAATGCAAAGATGACAATATACACATAGGTGTTTACCTACATGGTGAAATAGAGTTTGGGTTTTTTAATGCACAAGCATATGCACCTCACTAGCAGTCTCAGAATACCAAGACAGTTAGAGAACACCTGTATTTTCATCTGCAGGCTCACAGGTGTACAACACAGAAATCAGCCAGGAGAACCCAAAACACTGTAGTGTTTCATCTGTTCCGGATGCTAGGCTGTGATGGGAAACTTACAATTTTAAAATGGAATAACTGGGGGCTGGGGATTTAGCTCAGCGGCAAAAGCGCCTGCCTGGCAAGCGCAAGGTCATGAGTTCGGTTCCCGGTACTGGAGAAAAACCAAAAAAAAAAAAAAAAAAAAAAATGGAATAACTGTTCTTGCTTTAGAGGATAATTTAATTTAAGCATTTACATTTACACATCATTTTAAAAGTGCAAAACTAAAACCTGTATTCGGGTTTTTAATCCCCTACAAGTGAATTTTGCCTGAATTTGCAAATTAGAGCTGCAAATGACAAACTATAGGAAAAGACTTTATCTACTTTATTAGAGAAATTGACTGCAATTCAGTCAGTCCACCTGCTTAGTCCAAGAGATTTCCACCCATGCAAGCTTCCTTCCCGTCTAAGCCTTAGCATGAGGGTTTTAGGCACCCACTAGGAACCCTACATCTACTTATTTGAAATAAATGCCAATCACTTGCACAGTGGTCGCCAACCATTTTTCTTCTACTTAGCAGTGATATGTATTAGACTGATATTTACGACAGGAGTTATTAGAAACGCCACCTGTTTTCTGACGGGTGAAGTATATGCTAATGGGATTCTTTCTGGGCTTTACTCATGTTTACCAACATGTGCACACAAGGAAGTGGTTCTCCGTTACTTCTCTCCTTGCTGGAGGGTACCCTCTTAGCATGACTTCAGGAAGCAATGCTTTGGGGAAACCCGTACGACCCTCTTTCTAATTCTTTCTCTTTCTCTTTTTGAGGTACTATGGTTTGTGTCTAGACATCCCCTCAAAGCCTCATGCAGCCACAGGCGGGGCTTTTTGAGAGGTGGCTGAACCTATAGTATGTGACTGATTCGTGGTGCAGCGCTAGGATTAAGGGGCATGATTGTTAAATCAGCCCCCTAACTGGTTAGGCACCGCCCTAATCTCAGTAGCCTGGATACAACATAAAAGATAGGAAGAGGTCTGTCTTGCCCCTTGCTCGCTTGCTTTGCTGCCTTCTGTCACCACGAACTGTTTCTCTTGTGCGATGCCCCCTGCCGTGTGCCACCCTGCCTTGGAGCCAGCCGATTATGGCCTGAAACCTCCACAAACTCTGAGCTGAATAAACCTTTCCTCCTGTAATTTCTGGGGTGCTGGGGCTGTGGCTCGGCAGTAAAGTGCTTGGCTAGCATGTACAAGGTACTGGGTTCAATCCCCAGCACCACAAAATAAAAACAAAAATATTTTCAAACAAAAGGTGCAACCTGTCCTTTTATGTACCGTTAGCTTCTTACAGGCCCTATTATTCCAGGGCAGAAGATAACAACAACATACATGACTCTCCGTCCATTCTGCCCCTTTGGGGGAGGACCTTATTTTCTTTCATGTTTAGTGTAGAACAGGATAATTATATGAGTGTCCTTCAAGCCTTCTCTTTCCCTCTGTCAACAGAACGGGGTTGTCCAACTGCTCTCTGCCAACTTTCCTTCTCTTTTTCTTCCCTGCTAACTTTACTCCGGGAGTAAATCCCCTGGAGGGGAATTCTAGCACCTCCCTTGGAATATCTGGAACACGGTAAGGGAGTTCAAATCACTAAGGTGCTCTCCCATTTGTACACCTGACAGTTCTATGCTGTGCATGATTGGAAAGTGTTTTCTTTCTTTCTTTTCCTGTTTTTGTTTTGTTTTGCTCAGTTTTATTTTGAGATGGGGTCTTGCTGTGTTGCCCAGCCTGGGCTCAAACTTGTGATCCTTCAGCCTCGGTTTCCCCAGCAGCTGGGGTGACAGGTGCGCACACTGAGGGGGCTTGAAGATGTTTTTCAATGTTTAATGTGCTAAATTAAAGACACAAGTTGATTGTTTTCTTTATAAAAGCTCCTTGACTTTTGTTGAGGTGTCAAAGCACCAGTTACCATTTTGATATTCTGTACGTCGAGTTATCCCTTGGGGCCCGGAGTTCGACCTCAGAACCAGCCTACATTTACATCCAGCTCCTCTGCTTGCTAGCGTGTGGCTCCGACCTGCAGAAAGTATGACCGCGGTGCACACTGGTGTGTCCTGCTGTGTCCCGGCGACGGCCCCACTGTCCCCCAGGCTGCAGTGCTGCTCTGAGTAACGGGTGTGCGGCACCAACCGAAGTTGTCACGGTCTGCGTGTGTTGTGATTGGGGCGGCCGCGAGGCTGCGCGTGCTGCAGGGCTGTCCTCCCTCCCGCCCCGCTTCCTGCTGTCACTGTGCTCACTGCGGGACCCGCCGCTCCCTACCGTCACTGCGGCAGCCTGACGTGAAGACGTCCTGCGGGCTCTGCGGGCCGGGACGCGGGCTGAGGCCCCTCGGATAATGGCAGGCAGGACAGCGAGCCCCCGCCTCCGAGCAACCTGTACTTGAGCCACGCCGACAGGCAGCTGGCTGCTGTCCAGTACCCTGACGCCCGTGTCCTCGGTCTCCGCGCCAGAGCTCTCTGGCTCTCCCACCACACGGAACTAGACTCGGAGGTGAGCGTGTACCACTCCTCTGTGCTGTCATCCTCACGGGCGCCGTCTAGAGCTGATTCTCTGCCCCATTCTTTTTTTTTGTTGTTTTTTGTTTGTTTGTTTTTTTCCAGTACCGGGAATTGAACTCACAACCTGACACTTGCCAGGCAGGCGCTGAGCCTTTACTCTTGGATATAAAATCCTTGGTCATGTTTATTTACTTGATCAAATATCACCGTCTTCTGACAACTGAAAGTTTGCTGATACAAGTTTCTTTATTAGTCACTAATTGTCTCATTTAGATGCCCAAGAACATTTTTCTGTCTTTATTTATTTATTTTTTTTTGGTTTTTCTCCGGTACCGGGAACCGAACTCACGACCTTGTGCTTGCCAGGCAGGCGCTTTTGCCGCTGAGCTAAATCCCCAGCCCCTTTTCTGTCTTTAAAATGTCTGATAGCTTAACTACTTGCTAAGGGTTGTGTGAATAAATTCCCACAGGTATGTGACAGACCACTTTGATGGGTAGAGTTTCTGCTTCAAGATTTCCTAGTTAATCCTTTTTAGCATTTGCACTGTCTTGGTTGTTGCTCAAAGATTTCCATCCTGTGTGATTGGCTCCTCTTTACCTCTCTTCTATATCTATTATTTTCTCTCACATCTTCTTCATTTTTCCTGATTTTTAAAATTGTTCTATTTCCAACTTGTATTTTCTTGAGACCTTATCTGTCGTACTTATTCACCTTGGTGTTGCATTTAATATCGTCTCCTGAGATATTTTAATCTTTTATTTCTAAGTCCTTTCCTGAGTTCTAACCCACCTCTTTTTAAGTCATTCTATTCTCCAAACACCTCATGGGTAAGTTTTTCAAGTTGTGGTTTATTTTGGTCATCACGATTTCTGTCATTTTTTAAGTTTCATTTGTCCTGTTTGGAAACACAGGGCGTTTCCTGTGTTCTGGTTTCTGTCCATAGAGAAATTAGGCTGACCTTAATCTCTTTTTTTCTGAGACATTTTAAAAGATCCAACACTTTTCTTGGGTTTTCATCTAATGTTTAAGTGAGCTCAGTGGGCGGGGTCAGTCACTCCAGCTGCTCTCCTGCTCCCTCTGCTGGTGGGTTCGCAAAGTGACACAACAGTAGCCCTGCATTTCTAAGATCTTCCCGTTGGGAGTCTCTTCCCACCCCTGGCTTTCTCTCTCCTTTTCCATTGTGTTCCTCAACTCAACTTGATTCTGTGAGTAACGGTTTTTCCCAGACGTGGATTTTGTCCTCCAGAACAGATCATCAGTTTCTCACTTTTCACAGAGAACAAAATCCATTTCAGTGTCTGCACTCCCTGGCCCCAGGCTGCCTGTGGAAGGCCACTTTGCTCCCTCCTGTGCTCCCTGGGAAATTCTGCACCAGGTGACCCCATGATCCCTCACAAGATGCTACCAGCACTCAGGTCGTGAAGCTAGAGTTGCCCGGCCCCGTTCATACCTGGAGCTGCGAGATGCTCTTTGTTGCCTATGCATGTTTTAAGCTTTGTGTTGTGGCAGCTTTCAGGGTGATCGGAAGCACAAGTTCAATGTGCATGTACTCTGAGGAGCTTCCAGGTGCAACTCCATCCACAAAAGTTCTGATAAGGCCTCCACGAACTCACACAGTAATAAAAGGCACCTGGCTGTGTTCTGGGACAGCATCAATGTCCAATAAAAACTGTTACAAAATCTGTTATTTCAGCTATCAAACTGAATCAGACTACAGCACAGGTATAGACTAATGTTTGTGTACCTGCCCAAAATTCATATGCTGCAGCTCCAACCCCCAAGGGGATGACACTTGAAGGTGGGGCTTGTGGTTTAGGTGAGGTCATGTGGGAGGGGCTGTGAGGGTGTGATTAGCACCTTGCAGGGAGAGGCACACGCTCCATCACCGGAGGACACTGTAAGAAGAGGGCACTGCAAGCCGGGAGGAAGAGCTTCACAGAACTGAACTAGGCAGCACTGACCCGGGGCTCTCCAGCCTCCTGAGGTGTGCAGAATACACTTCTGTTGTTCCAGCCACCCAGTCTGTGGTGTTCTGCTGTAACAGCCTGAGCTGACCAGGACACAGGGCAATGCCAATCAGCCACTGTGTGAATTGTAAGAAAGGTTATTTTAACAGGAAAGGAGGGGAGAGAGGGAAGGAGGGAGGGAGGGAGAGAGGGAGGAAGGAAGTTGACTTCCTAGATATCTCACAGGAACTGAGAACAAAAGATTTCCACATTGACTGATGAATTGATTATACTGACATCCCAGGACAAAAGACGGTGGAGGGAAATGTCACTAGAAGCAGCATCTAACAACAAAGACAGCTTCATGACAAGTTGTCATCATTACTTACTTTATCACAGAAGACCTTGATCTGGCAATACGCCCTATGAATGGGTTTATTGCTGCGATTGTTGTAACTGTAGGTATCAATCTGAATCATCAAAGGAAGTCCTTTCACCCCTTTTTGGGAGGAGAAGTCTGTGCTCAGACAGTTCACGGTGATGAAAATCTAAAGGAGGGAGAAACAGAAAGTTCGTAAGTCACAACACAGAAGGTCTCCAAAGCAGGCACCAGCTGTAGACCGATGTAAAAATACCCAACAAATCCCCAAGGACAACAGAAGAACACATCGGTCCTCTCGTAACAAATCTTCAAAATGCATAAAACAGAATAAACACTATGTACTTTATAACCTATTCTGCTTTCATATTTCATCTTGAAATAAACCATTTACTCTCACACATCAACACAGTCTGACTTATTTTCTTAACAAATGTCAGTGAGTCAAGTGAAACATTGTCCTTCCAACGTATTAAAGTCAAAATGGTGAAATCGGCTTCACTAATCTCTGGCCTGTGGGATAAAGAGAAATAAAGTTCGATCACACCTTTCTTCGCACTATTGCACTGAGACCTAGTATCTGTTTATGTGTCTGTCTGTCTTGAGCGTGAAGCACGAGCTACAAAATCATTTGTTTTCTCGGATTTCTGGTGTGTGCACGGGGCTGGCAGGGGTCGGGCGTGCAGTAAGCATTTGGGAAAGGGGGCAACAAGCTGAGTCCACTGGGTGGGAGACAGTGGCCCTGAGCTTCACCCCAGCTCTAGTACTAACCAGTTCAGAGACCTTTCAATTTTCCCTTGAAATTGTCTCTAAAACCCGTGGACAGAGTGTCAATACTAACATACTTCCACGTTAGGGAGAAGGTGAAAGAGCAGCGAGCACAGGTAAGGTCAGACACAGGAGGAGACGGCACAGGAACACCACCGGTACCCGCACCACATGGCACGGGGTGGTGAGAGATGATGTAAACCCCACAGAGGAGAAACGAGTCCATTATCAAAGGCTTCAGCACCAGCGAAAGAACTGAGAACAGGTTCTCATGAAGTACTGGTGGACTGAGGTGTGCGCAGGCTGAATTCTCCTCATTCTGCACTCTCACCGACAGATGCTGCTGAGTGTCGCAGAGCCGAGGTACGGCAGGCCCAGACTGAAGTGGGGGCCGCACGGACATCTGGGAGGTGTCTCGGGGGCAGGGAGGCCACACCGTCCACTGGTTCCTTTCCATTTCATATCCCATGTATTATTTTTCAAACAGAATTTTCAGTTGCTCCTTGCTTTAAAATTGTATAGTTCTGCTGTCTAAAAACCGTACCATCAGGTGTTGCTACTTAACCTTTGCTCTCTTTGGCTCCTGGAGCTCTGGCCTCCCCTTCACATCCCAAGCACGAAGCCCCTTGGGGGCAGCCACCCTGGGGAAGGCTCAGCCTGGCATGAGCTCTGCTCCACAAGCCTTTGGGATTTTTTAGTTCACTACCAAGCCTGATCGAATTCGCTTCAAGCCCTGTTGGCTTTGGGGTAGTTTATAAAACCAGGGACCTAACCGTTAGTGCTCTATCTCTGTGAACATCCTTGTCCTTTCATTTTTTTTCTCAGGTTTTATTTTTTTAGTGCGTAATGACCACCTCGTGTGGAGCAGGTACGCGTACACAACACCTCTCAGCTCCCTCTGCAGACCCTTCCCCCTCCCTCTGCCGCCCTCCCTCTCTTGGTCCCGTCCCATCTGCAACAGATCTACCTCCCCATTCCCAACTTCTGGTCGTATCTGTGCCCCTACTGGGCAAGGAGAAATCCCAGGCTGCGGGCGGCGTCGCCAGGACAACCTGGTGTTCAAGCCTCCAACTCTCTCGTATTCCCTTCATCTGAACACAGAGCCTAAGGCTGCCCTGCGCACACAAGTCTGGGCGATGAGAGTGCAGCCTGAGATGACAGGGAGTGGAACCGAACTGAACACGGGCCTCGTGCTGCGACGGCCAGCTGTAGCCGAGGATGCGCACGCAGTATCAAATCTTCTGTTTTATAACAAAAACAAAAGGGAAGAAGGGTAACGGTGAGAGGATGGATGTGTCGATCTGCCTCACCATCGCTGCTGTCTACATGTACTCCATAACACCATGTTGCATATTCCAAATAGACACAGTAAAATAGTACTTCATAAAAAGATGGTCTAACTATGGAGACATTCACTTCATCCATTCCTTTCGTTCATCTGCTTGTTCTTTCAGCCTGTAAATATCCACAGGAGCCCACGCTGGGTCAAACCCAGTCTCAGACACTGGGGAGGGAGGAGAGCTGGCCCCTCCTAGGAGTCTTCCCCTAAAGAACTTAGAGCGGCATCCAGCAGCGGGCACGCGGGGGACCCAGCTGTCCATGAGGGTGCAGCGTGGAGACCCTGGGAACACAGGCAGAGCCGGGGGCCCAGAGACCAGGGAGGTGCAGACCACCCCACCCTTGCTGGGTGCAGGGCAACTCCGACCTCAGAAAGGGCCAAGGAGCAGAGCGAGAGAAGAAAACGCAGCTGCCAGGTGACGAGAGGAAGAACATGCCTCATCCCATGTTCCACCAAGCGCCCCGGCTTCTCACAGGCAGAAAGTGCTGCCCCCGGCTCCTGGAGCGCCCTGGAGGGCTGAGAACTTCATGTACCATTTGCTTGTGCGGTCAGCATTTTCTCTCAGTGCAGGTTGGTTAGGCAGCTGAGTGGGTTGCATTCTGACAGATCTGTGCATGCACAGGACACATTCTGGTCATTTGCAGTAAATATCTTAAATGCCTTCCACCATCCCGCGACTGCGCTGGCCCCGAGGCACCCATGATGGTTCCTACAGTAACAGAAGTCCCAGGTGAGATGGGACGGAGATAAGCATTACACTGGCTTCATGGAGCGCTAATCTGCGGGTCAGAAAAAGCGGCCTCCTCTAGGAGCACTTGACTTCATCGCGGTCGTTACCAGCAGCAACGCTCATGCTTGTCCGCTTGGCTGGATGAAGAGGCGCCTGGAGCGGCAGCTGCCTCCGGGGGGCGCTGTTCCCAAGAGTCTATGAGCTCCGGTGTCGGCCCCTGAAGGTGCCGTTGGGAGCTGGGGTGCAGGTGAAGCCACTGGGGTGTTGCCCTCTGGGGTGCATCTCTTCCCCTGCTCGGCTTCCCAGCTACCTTGATTCCTAGGCAGCTCTGCCCCCAACAGCCCCTGCACGCCGCTTGCCGTGGAGCCAACCACAGACTGCCTCTCTTGAGCCAAGGCCTGTCCTTTCAGTTGCAGGTGTCCAGCACGAGGAGAGCTGCCCAACGCAGGGCGGCGGGGCTGTCCGACCAGCGCCCTGAACACAGCTTTGTGCGGGTGAGTCGCGCGTGCTCCCGGCTGAGCCAGCCACAGCTGTGCCCCGAGCTCTCACAAGGACAGCTTCCCGGGCAGGCTGTGATCCGAAGGGACCTCAGCCCTGCCTGGCTTTTCCCACTCCTTCCAAAGGCTGCCTAGGACTACGGAACCCAGGAGACAAAGTGTTCTGATGAGGACTTCCCAGGCTGTGGAGGTCCACGGTTAGCCCTGACTTGGCCCCACGTCACTCACACTGGGAAAGTACGCAGCTGGCAGGAGAGCAGTACTGACTGCGGCTTCATCGGCTCCAAGTCTGAGCTAAAAGAGCCTGGGTGAGAGACCGGCACCCCTCGCCAGCACCACTGACGGAGACAGAGCCAGCAGAGCCACTGTGACAACAGACGCTGCCTGGCACTGCAGTGCAAGAAACAGACGGGCCCTGCTCGGAGGACGTCCCGAAGCAGCCACCGGGGAGACGGCCTTTAAAGGTCAGACGAGCTGCCACAGGCCAGGCTCCAAAGAGGCTGGGTTCCCCAGAGGGAGGGTCCTCAGCTCGGTGGCTGCCCATGCTGCCCTGACCCTGACGGCGGGGATTTCACAGCAGTGCCGGCCCTGCTTTCCTCCTGCCCAGCAGATAAATGCCATGAGCAACACATCTGCCATCGGGTTATGAACGCTACACACAACCACACACTATTTCCAAACCTCAGCTACTTGGTTTCCTGTAATTCCAATAACACATTTTCAGTGTTTTAGAAAAGCTAATTAAACCAAGTGTATTCAGACAGATAAACAGATACCATTGTCTTGGGGTGACTCAGATTATTTCTAAATGTACCAAGATGTTTCCCAGAAGTGGGCACAGCTCCGGGGCCTGGCGGTATCAATCCGTCTCACTGCACTGCCCTCCAAACCCCAGCGGTTGAACTTTAACTGAAGGCGGGGGCGCACAGGGAAGGCGTGGGAGGAGGTGAACTAAACCCTGGCTGGGGACTGAGGAGCTCGGAGCTGCTCCAACTACAAGCCCAACCACGCCCAGAGCCACACACAGCAGGCAAATGGGACAGCAAATTTCTTGGGAGTTTACCTATAAAGCACACGCGTGTAAGTGTGCATCAGGGCCCAGGAAAAGGGACAGTATCACCCATGGGAAGTCCACGCAAATGTCAGGCACAGAAAGTTCTGAACGCCAACGAGGGCCCTGATGCAGGTGAATGCCGCGGACAACGCATCTGCCACCTGAGGTACGAGTGCTGCACATGTCCACACACTATTTCCAAACCTCAGCTACCTGGTGCCCTGTAATTCTAATGACACGTTTTCATTGTTTTAGAAAAACATTAAGCGAAGTGTATTCAGACACATAAGTAGATACCATTGTCCTGGGTTGGCTGAGATTATTTCTAAATGTATACAAAGACCTATCCAGAAGTAGCAGCAATCCTGTGATACTTAACACTGTTTATTTATTTATTTATTTTTTTTCCGGTACCGGGAATCGAACTTACGACCTTGTGCTTGCCAGGCAGGAGCTATGCTGCTGAGCTAAATCCCCAGCCCCCTAGCATTGTTTAATAAAATCATTCATTACATATGAATGACAATTCTCACTTTGTAGTTCCCACACAGAAAAGCAATTTTACTAGGTTTTAAACACCTCACAGTTGTGTACTATGTGAGTAGAAGCATTTAGTACAATAAATACAAATCAGTAAGCCTTATAATTGATACACTTAATTTTTTTGGTAACTGTTTTGGGGTGGTGCTGGGGATGGAAACCAGGGCCTCACATGCTGGGCAAGTGCTCTACCATGGAGCTACATCCCTGATGCATTAGCTTGACTACATTTTTTTTGTAC